AGTTATACAAAACAGTTTCTGAATCTTTGAGAGCTGTCTCGCGTGCGAGATAGTAAACACTATCTCGCACGGCGAGACAGTAAACACTGTCTCGCGTGCCGAGACAGTCTACACTGTTCTTTGTGTTCTTTTGATCTTTGGATGATCTCCTCTTGAGCTGTATTTGGATATCTTTCAGTATTTTTTGACGCCTACAGATACCCCCTCCAAAATGTTCCAGACTTATTCTTTTATAGAGGAGTCTGGAACACTTTGGATAAGACATGCATGACTCACAGTCCCTTCAATACTTGGTTGAGTGGATCGTGGAGAGGGGCTCGTAAATGAGTTCAACTCTTGAACTCTTTATCTCTCAATCTATCTAGTGCTTTGTAGAATAGTTAAGATTCTTCCGGTACTACGTTTATCGCTTGACCGTTGTCGAGATCTTGAATCGAAGCTGGAATTTGTACTTGTGAATTCAGCTTTTGTCATCAAATTGATACTGGATTGTTAATCACTGTATCAGTCTTCATAAGAACACAGTTTATACTCATGTATTTTTTTTTGGAGTTTTCGAGAAATAGTTAACCTCATATACTCGTTGGGAGGTAGCCAGGTTATTCTTAAGAATATTCTAAGTGATATTCTCCAGAAACTTCCTGTTGGGGGTAGGGGAACAGTTTAAACTCGTGTACCTATTGGAGTATTCTGGTCTCTTTTTTGTTGGTAGAGGTGAACCCGATGATGGAGAGGAAGAATTTTATATTCTATCTCCTGGTCTCTTTTTTGTTGGTAGAGATAAACCCAAAAATCAGAGAGGAAGAATTTTATATTCTATCTCCTGGTCTCTTGTTTGTTGGTAGAGATAAACCCGATGATGGAGAGGAAGAATTTTATATTCTATCTCCTGGTCTCTTTTTTGTTGGTAGAGATAAACCCGAAATCGGAGAGGAAGAATTTTATATTCTATCTCCTGGTGCAAAGAAAACTCGAAGCGGGATTTCCACTTAGAGAATCTGGGTTGGTTTGAATAATCCTAACTGTCGTAAGGTTTGATTATTCAATTTGAAAATGGACCCCTCGTTCGTGGAATGAATCGAGAGAAGATTCTAGTTGTGGTCCTAACTGTTTAAAGGTTTGACTATGTGGGAACTTGAGACGATCCTAACTGTAGGAAGGTTTGATCGTTCGATTTGTGGACCTCTCGTTCATTGAAGGAATCGAGAGGGGATTTTGGTTTTGGTCCTAACTGTTTAAAGGTTTGACCAAATGGGAACTTGAGACGATCCTAACTGTAGGAAGGTTTGATCGTTCGATTTGTGGACATCTCGTTCATTGAAGGAATCGAGAGGGGATTTTGGTTTTGGTCCTAACTGTTTAAAGGTTTGACCAAATATGAGTTTTGTGAGGGAAGATTGATCTAAAGAAGTGATCGAATCTCATCTCAGCAAAAGAGTATTCGGAAATCACCGTGGGGATGTAGTGTTTATCACTTTGTTTGTAATAATCGGGTTATCTCTAAGAAAAATACATATAGCATTCTTCCGAGAACTTCCCGTTACATGAACCATCCACCCCCAGCTTCCTTCGCGAAACTGGGTCTAACATCTATGATCGGGTTATCCTTAAAAGTACCATGCATGGCATTCTCTAGGAACTTCCCGTGAAAGAAAGGAAATAGTTTAGACTCATATACCTGTTGGAG